AAAAGTACTATTATTATTATTATTATTATTATTATTATTATTATTATTATTATTATTATTATTATTAAATGAAAGTCGGCTCAGAGGGCAATCAGAAAGATATGTCGTGAAACATTACCGCTAAGCTCTTCAGTATTTATAACAATAATATTTATTATTATTATTATTGAATCTGATTATTTAGCAAATGAAAAATGCTCAATAAAATTATTAAACATACTAATAAAACACATCAGTATCAAATTAATAATTATTAAAAAAATAATAAAATATAATTTCTTTAAAATGGCAAAACCTGACCGTCGAGTAAATGCTAATACTAGCCACATTCTCTCACTCCGAAATCTGAGGGCACGCGGCCGTGAGACGCTACAAGTGAAAGGGATGCCAAAGGTATTTCATGCGTTGCCGAATTGCCGAAACAAGAGGTGGTGTTTCCAGACATGCGTTGCGAGTTAAGCTAAAGAACCCGTACATGCAAAAGTTAGTGATTAATAACGTATGTTTTTAGATTATGTTAATACGTAATTTTAGGTTGATGCTGACCAAATGTACAGTGTACATAGTACTACTTAAATGAAATGGTGCATGTCTGTTAATAATGCTTTTGAATGTATTATTGTGGCAGTTAAGAGGAACACGTAAATAGAGTAACAATTTTAAATAAAGTGGACAGTGAAAACATGATGTTGGCGTGAACAATTGACGGATCGCGAGCGTGGAAACATTTATTTCTTTTATTCCGCAAGAGTTGACAAACTAACTAAATACGCGTTGGCATAAATAAATAAAGGAGAAAAAGTTTGGCATTACGAAAACAAGTGTATATTAAGTTTATGACATAAACTTTATGAAATTTTAATTTATTTAATCATGAGACAAGTAAACGTGTACGTAATTTAATTTAGATACAGTGAATAATTATACAAGGGCAATGACTAAAGATAAAAACGTAATTTTGTGAAAATAGGCGACAGATGAAGGTGAACGATAGCATTTTTTTTTAAAAAAAACTATGACTAGAACCAGGAACAGGACGGAAGACAGGGCTAGAGATCGGCCGAGAATACATGATAGAGAACAAAGGTGACCTTTGGTCACTGCCCTGAGGACGCCTGCGACATGTCAGGCGAAACGTCGGCCTCTCAGCCAACGACGCGGCGTCTCCCGGATAGCAAAGACTTTATGGATTCGAGCCACGGAAGTTTACGTGTGCAATGCAGTAGGCAATTGAAGACGATCAAAGGGATATGATTAATATAATCTAAAATAGACTTATTAATTTTTGGTTCTACGTGATCGTGTAAGAAGGGCAAAATTTGTAATTGTTTAACGGGGAAAGCAAATTCAATTAACATACCATGGCTTTTAGAAAACGGGAGGCGCATCAGTATGAATGAGTTTTGAATGTATATGAAGAGTGAATGAGTTTGTAAATATTTTTGATTTTTGTTAAGAGTATACAGATTGGTTTCTGTGTCATGTCATGGTATGCTAGTCGAGAGAGGCGGCAACGACGCCAGAAGATTTCGGCGAGTAAATGAAATAGCACCGATGTTTGGCGATGATTGTAATCGTTGAAAAGTACCTCTTTTGTGTTTTTCTTATATTAAAAATGAAAAGGGGGCAATACCGTACCTTGATCCTAGTATTGATGATAAATTTCCCGTTTGCTGTACAGTAGGGGCTTCCCCCTTCATGACCCTAAATTCATTTCTAGGACTGTACATGAATCCACTTCGTAGGTTAGATTATTCGTAATATTATTAATACGAGAAGGGAGATAAGGATGTAAATAGTGTTATTTATTTTTAAAAATTTAAACGGAAAAGCGGCATCGTTCCAGCGGCACGCCCAACGTGGGCAAAAATATAAATATTATTATTTATATAAATAAGGAGATACCAGGTTCCGTCTCACTATGATATAATATGTTTATAATCTGTCAATATTGTGTAACCAGGATATGTGCAAATTAATGATATGTGATATTTATGGATTTATGTAAGCTATGTATTATTTTGTTCATAATATTGATTGATCAAAAATTTGTAGCTTGAAGATGGAGTAAAAGTGACTCCGAAACGTCGTGATATGTTTTTGTATGATAATGTGTAACTACTAGCTTTATGCAAAAATAAAGTCCTAACTTGTCTATAAAAAGCGAAACATTACATGGAATTTTATAATGCTAAGAGACTACCTCCTGTACTTCATATTAATAACAGACGTAGATCCACGGGGAGGGAAGTGATGGAAATTTTTCCCTTCCTATTAATTTTTAACTTGCTATTAATTTTAACTTGCCACGAAACTTTCAAGCACAAATATTTTCGGATAATCATTCAAACGAATTAAATCGTATCGTAGTATGAACTTCGTGTAGCCTGCGACATTTAATAACAATGAGAAAGTAAGAAGAAATTGCAAACTTATTTGAACGTAATGGAATGAAAAGAAAAATGGAACTCACCACAAAAAGGCAATTCACCCTGCCAGGTGCCCGTCTGCGAGCAAGTGCGCTGCGACCCTCCAAAGAGTTCGTAGCCGTCGTCACAGGTGTATTTGGCGACGGCGCCTGGCCGTAGCGTCGTGGTTCCATCGTCCTGGTCGAGGCGCACGCGTGCATTGAGCGGCACTGCCGGATGGCCACAGCGTGCCTCTGTAACAGCCCCCGCAAGAACATTAACATATTGCTAGTGGCCTGCAGCAGCAAAAATGTTGAATAAAACCACACACTAGTTTTCTGGGAAGTAGCACGCACACTGCGTATGAACTGAAAATAAAATATTCTCATATAACACTGCATCAAATTAATTTTTTTGAACAAAAGCACTTCACGTCATATTTTAAGCAAAATATTGCAACAACATAGTACATTTATACAGTACAAGAGTTATTTACATACCTACATATTTACATATTTACATAGTATCAGAAAGTTGCGGTTCCATAACGCAACAGGTAAATAGCAAATATTTAATGGAGAGCGACCTCTTCCTTGGAGTTTTGCTAACGCATGACGACAGCTGTGTCTAAAGCAATGATTCATTGAGAATGGGAATTCAGTCTGTACGCGCAGTATGAGAATAGGTAGATTTACACATTCCAATATTTGTATGTTTCACTCAAAATCTAAACTGTTTCATGATTTTCGGATTTTTCACGAGTTCCTGGGTATCAAAAGAAACCGGCCAGAGGCTGCATAGTATTTCTCAATTTTACAAGTACAGTTTTAGTTAAACATATTGGTGTAGAGCTTCCATTAAAGGATCTTTTTTTAACAATTGAATATTCGCTTGTGATGTTGATGTTACATTAGTTATTGTATGGTGGAGATAACGAATGGAAAATAAAGCAGTATCGAGTACTTCTTCCAAATACTTAATTTAAAGATTGTAGAAGAGCAAACATCACAGTTTTCCATTCAATTTCGTTGAACCTTTCAACTTGTTCGTTTTCTCTTGGGTTGTAGGACATAGCTAGGTTTGTTGCAATATTCTGAGAAGTTAAACACGAAATCATGGAAATACATCCACAATAGTTAAAAGATATTAATTCTTTGTTTTCTTTTGTAGAGGTCCTTTGAAGTCCAGATTTTATCTTTTAAATGGCGAGATAGCTTTTATTAAGGTAACCTCAACATAACGAAAACGCAGCTGTACCTCTGCACAGACCAGGCATGAATTAGCAACCCTTCTTATAGCTTCAATGGAGAATGGCAAGCTTTTGGTGCGGACCCAGTGATGTAACCGAATGATGCCTGGATGACAAAGTGCAATGTTTAGAGCACTGAGATCCCCAGTTGAAGGGTCAGCAGCGCGTATCCTGGAAAAAGTATCTGGAGATACGTTATCACTTCCTGGACGATAACATGTCAAACTCAAAATGCCCCGTCGAGGTTGGTCTGTCCACGTGCTGACGGGGGATGCAGGGAGGGCTCTCAAGTATTCCGTTCTTTCACCATTCATCTTTATCTTCCCCATCGTTCATTGTCATTCTTTGATAACATCCTGTCTCTTTTCCCCCAACCCTCCTATTTCACTGCCTCCTGTATGCAGAACACCCACTCATGTGTTTGCCGTGCATGGCAACTCGTGTCGGAACGAATGAGTGTCCTGGCAGTTGAGGCGTCTGTTTGTTACCCAACTACTCCCCTTGTGCTATTTTGCAGCTTTGCACGTAGGGATACTTTATTTACGTATTTGAGGGGACATTCATTGCATGCTTCAATACACTTGCTTTGGTTTGGACTCTTGTAGATGGGCGGGTGGGAGATAAATCATTCCCGATCAATCGGCGCGAACTAGGTCTTGTACTGAACTCCAGGGTGAGTGAGGTAATCACAATGGGGCAGCGCCGTGTCATCTCCCCATTATAACCATCCGCGAACCATAGAGGACTCATTCGGGAAGCTCCAAGCGGTCGCGCGATAGAGGTACGGTATATTTCTTTTTGAAGCACGGACCGATGAACAAATAAATAAAATCAAAAAACAAACAGATTGCCGCCATCCACTTGGTAGTGACGACGCATCTAACCCTGAATCTCTGCAAGAGAACGGTCAATCACGACGACTTAACTTCAGAAAGTGACGAAGATCTTCATTCCTTTTTTAAGAGTCAGGGTGTCACTGAGGTGTATAGGATAAAAAGAAAGACGTATGTGAAAATGATCCCAACGTCAACCCTGAGCCTTACATTTGACTGTCCGTCCCTTCCGGAAAGGATCAGTTGTGGTTCTACAACCTCCGTGAACGACAGTATGTTCCAAACCCTTTGCTCTGTTTCAAGTGTCAAATGTTTGGATATACTCAGCAATGATGTATGTTAGAGCACCCAGTGCAGTACATCCGTGCACGACCCACAACCCTGCGCTACACCACCACACTATGTCAATATTGTGAAAGTTACCATCCCACCAACTCCAACCAGTGCCCTACCTTACTTTGGGAAAGAGAGATTCAGAAGATAAGTCAGCGAAAATGTGTCCTTCCCTGTGGCCAAACGTCAGCACCAGGCTGCCAGTTGACCTGCCACGATCCTTCTTCAGTCCCCTAAAGCCTAAGTCCTTCGGGTAACAGCAAGTTGCCAAACACAACGTGCTTCCCCTCTAGAAGCGCAGGTCTGTTAGTCGTGTTATCCTGAAGACACCAATTAGAAAACAGTGTTCTCCAGGAATCATTTCTGAGTATCACTCTGTTTGTCATAGCTATAAATGGTATCGCATCAGTAATTCAAAAGCTTGTGAAAGAATCGCTCTTCGTTGAGGACTTTGCCATGTTTTGCTCCTCCAAGGGCATGTAAGTTACTAAGAGGCAATTACAGATTGTCCTCTACAAACTGCAAGAATGGAGCGATGGAACTGGATTTAAGTTCTCCGCCTCAAAATTCAGTTGCGTGCACTTCTACATAATTCATACAAAATCATCCTGCCCTTTTCTTGGGGGTCATGAACTTTCTTTCGTCAAGTACGCCACTTTTCTTGGCCTGACGTGCATAAAGAGTTTAACATGGGGAAATCATATTCAAAACTTGAAGTGCCGATGTGTATCACCATTGAATGTCCTTCGCACCCTTACTTGTAGGTCATGGGGCGTAGAGCGAGAGTATGTCTCTTGCGCCTCTATATGACCATCCGTTCTATTTTCGATTATAGGTGTATTTTAATGGGGCAGCGTCTCCGTCGACTATCCGGCCATTGAACACCATACACAATGCCGGTATACGGATCAGCACAGGTGCATACCGCACGAATCGCATTGAACGCCTCTTGACCGTGGCTGGTGAACCATCCCTGAGCCGAAGGCGAGATATTGTAATCGGCTCCTATGGTGCGAAAGTATCAGCTATAAATACTCCATCGCACCAAGCAGTTCTTCATCCAAGGAACAGAACATCGTATGAACTCAGACCATCGTTACCCCACCCTCCGTGTATCCGTCTCTACACGCTCTTGCAGAAACATGTTATAAAATTTCACATCCCTGTGAACCCCCTCCCCCGAAGTCGTGTTCCTCCTTGGAAACTGCTATGGCTTAAAATAGACCTGAGATTATCAAATTTTCTCCAAATCCGCAAGCACACTTCCTCCCCAGTACATTTCTGTCGGAATATCAGGAGATGAAATCCATGTATCCCGACTATACACTTCATATACACTGATGGTTCCTCCGAATATGGTAAAGTAGTTAGTGCTTTCTACTGCCTTAGTGCCACGCGGAGTTTTCAAATAGACTCTTTGTGTAGCGTTCATATTGCAGAGAAATATGCGCTATTGCAAGCTTTTAAGTTCGCTGAATCGATGGTATCAAAAGAAGCAGTGATCTGGAGTAATTCTAAAAGCTCGCTCGAATCCAACATCTCCTCTTCTTCTTGTGACCTTTGACATTGAACATCCAACATCAAATACATCACTTACTGATGCATCGTTAGAACTTTTTTTGTTAGATTCCTGGGGGATAATAGGAAACGAAATGGCTGACCAGGCAGCAAAGTTTGTCACGAGGAAAACTGAGGTAGAGCCATCACAGTCGAACCAAATGAAACCAAGGTGTTTAACAAACGCTCAGTTGTCAGTGTATGGCAAACTGAATAGCAAAACGTGGATTTTATGCTCACGAAAATCAAGGATTCCATAAATCCTTGATGTTCCTCAACCCGTGGCTCCAGGCGCGAGAAGATTATTCTGACACTTTGGATTGTGCACTGGCATTTCTCCCCCGAATAACTTCTCCGCGGTGACCCACCCATACTTGCGATAGTTGCGAGACTGGTTTTAACGTGGAGCATGCTCTCCTGCACTGTTCTAGGGTAAGAGATAGACGCTGAAGGCATCATCTTGCTAGCTCTCTAGCAGATATAATTTTAAAAGACGAATTTTCTCTCTGCAAGCTTTTTAGCTTTTTGCGAGATACTACCATCTACAACCTTTTCTCAAAGAAGAGGAAAATGCCAATTATTTTGACTTAAGTTGGAGATTATAACCCATTATTTACCCACTGGGTTGTTAACGACCACGTAGCGAAATTGTCCATGCTTTGTTACACCTCTCACATCGACGGCCCAATTAATACAAATTTGGCGCCAAGCTTGGAGCTCATTCATTTTGACAATTCTTTGAGGTAATTAAGAAGGAAAAATCATACATTTCAAACGTCGCGTTTTCTAGATACTATTAATTTGGCAAAACTCGAATTCTCTCTCACAAGAATTAAGAATTTATTTTATATGAAACTGTTTGAAATAAACCTTTAACTGCTTCCATAAGTGACCGGTAGATCGCCCTTTCCAATTTCCCGGAATTCCAATTTTTCCACATAACACACGACGAAATCGCATTCAGAATCTCCAGTCGTGAGCTGTTTTGTAGCGATCGTGTACAGAAGCTAAGTAATACGCATATTATTTATGCATATAACGAGAACGTTTATTTTCGTCAGACAAAGGTACCAATGACAATTTTTTCAATATTTAATTATGTGTGTTGCGTGTCTTTTAAGAATATCCTCTTCTGACGAGAACACGAACGAGAGGCGTTTGGCAAGACGTCTTGGTACAGTTTCTGCAAATGCTCTCC